CGGCCCGCCTACCGCCTGCGCCTGCGCCTGCCCTACGCCGTGGACCAGGCCCGCGGCTGCGCCACCTTCGACACGGCCGCGCGGCGCCTGCTCGTCACCCTGCCGGTGCTGCGCCGCCCCGGCCACAGCACAGCCGCAGCCACCTGTGACAGCAGCGCCCCGGAGCAAGCCGAGAGCAGTGAGGCTTCTGCTGGAGACCCCGGTGACAGCACACTGGTATCCCCCGGTGCCCCGGGCCCAGCTAAGACCTGCGAGGGCCCTGCCGGAGACCCCGGTGACAGCACAGTCGCAACCGCCTCTGTCAGCAGTGCCTTGGAGCCAGGGAAAAGCAGTGAGGGCCCTGCCGGAGACTCCAGTGACATCACAGCCATATCCACCTGTGCCACAAGTACCCCAGAGCCAGCTGAGAGCCGCGAGGGCCCTGCCAGAGCCCCCAGCAGCAGCACAGGGACAGCCACGTGTCCCCACAGCAGCACTGAGCACCACAGCGGTGGCCCGGCCCCTGCCAGAGCCCCCAGTAACACCACAGCTACAACTACCTGTGCCAGCAGTGCCCCAGAGCCAGCTGAGAGCCGCAAGGGCCTTGCCAGAGACCCCAGCAGCAGCAAAGCCACAACCGCCTCTGCCAGCAGTGCTATGGAGCCAGACAAGAGCAGTGAGGGTCCTGCCGCAGACCCCAGCGACAGCACAGCCATATCCACCTGTGACAGCAGTGCCTTGGAGCCAGCTGAGAGCTGTGAGGGCCCTGCCGCAGACCCCAGCGACAGCACAGGGGCAACTGTGTCCCCCCGCAGCAACGCCAAGCACCACAGCAGTGGCCCGGCCCCTGCCAGAGCCCCCAGTAACACCACAGCTACAACCACCTGTGCCAGCAGTGCACAGCCTGCTGTACCTACCAAGTGCCCCTTCAGCAGCCTGGTCTTTGCTGGAGCCCCCAGTGACAGCTCAGATATATCCACTTGTGCCAGCAGTGGCCTGGGCCTGGCTGGGCCCGCTGTGCACACCTGCAGCAGCAGCAAGGGCCCTCCTGGATCCCCCAGCAGCACAGATTGTCTTGCCTGTCCCAGTGCTGTGCCCATCCAGTGCCCCTGTAGCGGCCCAGTCCCTGCTGCATCCTCTAGTAATCCCAGCACCAGCCTAGACCCAGCGGTGCCCGCGAAGTGCCCCAAGACCAGCATGGATCTTCCTCTATGCCCCAGCAGTGACTTGGACCCAGCAGTGCCCGCTGAGCACCCCTGTAGCAGCCCAGCTTCTCTATCCTCCAGTGACGGTGCGGCTCTAACTAGCTGCTCCAGCACTGACCTCCTGTGCCCCAGCAGTAGCCGACCTGCTGTGATCTCTAGCGATAGCCTGGGTCTTCCTGCCTGTCCCAGCAGCAACACAGAGCGTGCTGTGCCCGCCAAGCACCACAGCAGCATGGATCACCCTCTGTGCCTCAGTAGTACCCAGGCTGCTGCTGCCTCCTCAAACAACAGCTCAGATCTTCCTGCTTGTCCCGGCAGCAACCTGGACTCTGCTACGCCCTCTGAGTGGTGCTGCAGCCATGTGGATCTCCCTGTGAATTCCAGCAGCTGCCCTAGCTCTCCCATGGCCACCAGCAGCATGACCCCTCCTGTGTGTCCCCCCTTCCAGTGTACCCAAGATGAAGAATCCCTCACTCTGCTCGTGCAGGTACCAGGCATCCAGCCGCAGAGTCTCAAAGGGGAGGTTGGCACAAACCACTACGGACTCAGCTTCTCCTCCAAGGACGCTGCTTCCTACTCCTTCTTCCTGCAGTTTCCTTTTGAAAACAAGTTGACCGCCCCTGAGACTGGTGTTAACGTGTCCCCCAGTAACGCTGTCATAGGGCTGGCCAAGTCTCCTGAGAGCACTGGACTTTGGAAGAAGCTGTCCTTTGGCTTAAATAGCCACGCTTTGCAGGTAATGACGTCTTCAATGTATTCAGCTTCAAAACTTTCTTAGCTCGGTTGTAAAACAGACCATTGGCTTGGGGAGATCATTTATGAGATGTGGAACATTTCACATGTAAGCCGCCTGTTCAAGTTCAAAACGAGTTGGCGTGATGAGAAGTCACTAGTGTCTGGCAGCTTTTATCACAAGTGGGCAATAAGTCTTATGCAGTTCACAGCTGGTAGGAGCTACCTTGTGAAGATCACCCATGGTGGGTGTTCTCCTGGAACCCCAGACCCCGTGTTGAATAAGATGGAGATGTGACTGGTTAACGTTCAGCATGGGGAGTAGTCCAGTGAGGAAAGGCCTCAGAAACAGGAAGGTGGCAGGGCAGGCAGGTGGGAGGGAGGAGCTAGGAGGGCCAGGGGTGAATAGTACCCATAGCTAGCCTGCTCCCTCCCTCCCTCCCAGCGTGGCAGCTGGAGTGGACTGAGAAAGCTCCTTTCATGCTGCTGCTACCTATGCGCTGTGTAGTCTGACAGGGCTTGCTGTCACCTCCTCCCCACCCTGTCAAAGACCCCAGATGCCTACCTGGGACTCCACATGGCCCAGCCTGGGCTGGGTATGTGTTATTGGTTAACTGTTTATCCAGTATAATTAGAGGAGGTTTAACAGATGGTTTTTAAAATGGTATTTACATTCCTTATTTTAAATAACTAAGTTTTCAAAGCTTGACCTGATTTTTACGTGGCCAAATGGAAGCCACAATCCCACAAGCATAGAAGTAGATGCTAGTGAGAAGACAGTGTCAGAAGTGGAAAACATATTGGCTGGCCCTCTGTGAAGCCCTTCCAGTGAACTATTCAGGACATATTTTGCAGCATTTTCAAAGAACTCAGGGCTTGGATGTGTATGTATGTGCAACCATGAGGTTTTAGGCATGCTGTCTTTAAACCATGCAACCGGGTACTAAGCTTCCCTGATATGCATTTTGCACCATCATATGCAAATAGGAGTAGATCTGTGTCAGCCTTTGCTTCCTGCAGCGTCTTGAACAAGCATTCTCTTGTCCTGCACGTTAATACAGCCTTATTGCACCTGGTCATCATTTTGGCAAGTCTTGTACTGCTCTGTGTATGATAAATTCAGGTGTACACAGATACGGGCTTAATATATAATTACCAGAGGCTCCAGCAGCCTGCTGCATATTCTCACAGCATGCACTAATCTATATGAACCTCTGGCTAGGGTTCTCAGAGGGTGCATTATGTTACCATTTATCATTTTAAATGGTTTTTTGCATAATCGTTCCTGAACCCTTTCCAGGAGGCTTGCAAGGGTAATGAATCTGTTTGAGAAACCTTCATCTAATGTGCTTGGAATGCCATGACTGTCTGATTTATTAGCTTCTTTTACCTGCTGACCTTTAAATGCTGATATACATGGATTCATTATGAGTGGTGCGACATGTGGCAGGGGGAAGCCCTTTTCAGTCACAAATTATTAAAAGGTTACTCTGATTTGATTGGTGGAGACATGCAAGTGCCTCTTGGAGTTACAGATCTTGCAATTAAGTAAACTTATGGTCTAATAAATGTGTTGGGTGGAGAAGAGCAGGAAGGAAATGTGGGATCGGTCCTAGGCCACCAGAAGCTCACCAGTGTATAGCTTTATAAAAAATCTTCTTGGTGTCCACATTGAAACAATTAAGGTCACCTGAAGTAATTAATTCTGCTTGGCTTTTTGCTAAAACTTTTGTCAGAGGTGAATGTCACATTCATTGGGAGAAGGAAAATATATCAAATGTGTATATATATAAACATAACTACCCTTGTGACCTGTGGTCTTTGCCTTTTAACTTCTCTGCTCATTTGGACTATTTCTAGTATAGAAGGGGGTATTTCCTGCTATGTCTTTCCATTGATAAATACCTTTTAAAATTTCCTTTCCTTTTCAATGTATCTGTTCTGCTAGGTTAAATTGTACTTAAACATTCAATTCCTGTGCCTGGACTATACGTTTCAGTTCTTTGCCAACATGTGCGGTCTCCTTTTGCCAGATTCATTTGTGCCAGTCAGAGCCACGTTTCCTGTAGACAGTCTAGAGAGTTCAAGTTGGCATGTGTGCTCTGCGAGAAGAGTTTCTTCTGGAAAACGAAGCGGCAGTGTTTCAAATGACTGCCCTGTGGCAGTCGGCATGCGGCATTACATCAGGGACTTTCAGCCACCTAGCCATTTGTCCAGGCCTTGCATCATCCTCAGTATTTCATCCTTGTCTGCCCATCTGTCTAAACCAGGCCTCCATTTTTTTTTTTTGACTGTGTCAGAGAACATTACAGTACATTTGTACGGAAACAGGCTGGTGTTTTCTTCTGGCATGTAGTACCACTCAGAGACTTCAACTTTTTCAAGGTAGTGGCCTAACTAGGAATTTATGGTTCAAGAATTACTTGGAACATATTTAAATTCTCCCCTCTGCCCCTCCCCACCCGAGTTTACATTCAGGAAACATCTACAGCTATGGAGAGTACTCGAGAGGCTTTATTCAAGGTTTTTATAGTTTTGAAACTGGTGGTTATGCCCTAAAATTATCCTGTTTCAGTGGAAAAGTTAAGAAAGGGACACACAATTCTAACACTTGATCTCCTTTCATTTCTCATGACTTGTTTCTGGTATGTTCAGGAATAGATTGATTAGGGTTGTTCAGGTGGTTGTGCTCCCACTTTTTCTGGTAGTCTTCATATATTATCACATATAATATTCCCTTACTCGTAAAGCTTCTGATTGCATTCAACATCTAGTGCTGCAAGAAAAGAGGTATTTTTTAAAATTATTACTATAACTCTTACCCTCTTTTCCCTTGAGAACAGAGCAACCCCGTGTACCAAAACCTCAAATCAAACTAATCCAGTTTAGGGGAATATTGGAGACTTAAACTCATGGCTATGGTCACATTAATATTCTTGGATTTTAGTAGGTATGTTATCATCATAGGAAATAACTTAGACTTGGGCCTTTGGATGAACTCCAGGAAATGACAGCAGTGGTATGCCACATATATGGACTGACAGTGAAAATGCTGTTGTGCATTTTGTGTTGGTTCAGTTTATTCTGTTTGTGAAAAGTTCTTAGGAAATCTATTGGAAAGGACTTTGTTCAGTGATAAAAGCACTCAGTTTGATTCCTGCAACACTGACAGGTCTGTGAAGAACGTATATGTGTAGGGACCTACCGAATTTGTATGATTTTCCTGGAAATCATAAATTTGGGCAGTTACCATTTAAAAAAAAAAAAAAGGTGAGCTCGCTGCAAAAGAAGAGAAAAAACCCTTCCCTACAAGCAGAGAAAAGGGCAGGTAGCCATGCAGTCTTGGAGTAAGGGGTGTGCAGGGGGGAGGGCAGATGGTAGGGGGAGGGGCAGGCAAGAGGCCAGGGAGCTGCACAGGCACCTGGATGGGTGATCCTGGGCTGGCTGTGGCCAGCAGCCAGAAGGCTGCAAGTGGCTGCACCAGAATCCACAGAGCCTTGGCATAGCTCATTGCACACGTGCACCCACTGCTGGCCGCGAGCTGTGCCAAGGCTCCATAGACCCTGATGCAGCTGCTTGTAGCCTTCTAGTTGCCTGCCACAGCCAGCTCAGGACCATGGTCCAGCTTTGGGATGGCCCAAAAATCACAGCTTAATTACCCTGATTAAGCCCAGGAAACCATTAATTAATGCTTAATAACCTGTGGATTAATGGCTTCCCTGGGTTTTATCAAGATAACTAAGCCATAGTTTCAGGCCATCTGGCAATCTTTGGGGAGGGGTGGGACAGCTGGCCAATCAGAGGCATGGGGAGGAGGGGGGTACCACCATGTTCAGCCCTCAAAAATGGCAGCTGGCCCTGGGAGCTGCCTCCTTGAGTTTGGTAGACCCTGTTTATATGCAAACAAGAATGCCAGCAGGGTTGGCAATTTACTGTTTTCCTTTGCAGCTGGATCTTCTGGGTGTGGACACACAAGCACTTGGAGCCCTTTCAAAAGGGGAACAAAAGAGCATCTGGCACAGTCCAATTGCATGTGTGAGCAAACTGAGAACAGTTCAAATGTAGTAACATGGTCTAAGTTTGTCTGGAAACAGATGTCACCTTTGTGCCACCATAAAAACTTTTTTGATGGCACAGAGTGAAAGCAAATAGACATCCATATCCTTTGTTGTGAAACAAATGCCCAACTTTCTGGCAATGGCAAAAGGTGGTAAGAATTTGTGCTGCTTTTTCAGGGCAGACACCTATTTGCTTTATGGTGTGAGAATGCAAGCAGCCCGGAGCTGCCCACACTCTCCCGCTGTCCCAGGCAGGAACTCCAGAGGCTTGTGGGTCTCAGTCCTGCGTCCCTCAGGAATTCCTCTGCAGAATTGGGCCCCTTAAGCCCTGAAAGCACCTGCCTGGTTTTCCTCACTTACAGGGAGACATGCCTCCAGGAATCTCCAGGGCACATCTCTGTAAACAGGGAATCCCGGCTCTCGTGCTTGTGGAGATGCACCCCGGAGATGCCCAGGGCCACATCTCTGCATCACCCTGTTGAGAGGGCTCCAAGCCTCTGCACCCTCGTTCACCCACAGTTCTCATTTCCGTATTCTAGTTCTGTGTATGTTTGACTTGTGAAAGTTTCAAAACGGGGGATAGTTGCTGTTTATAAACACCTGGGAGAGAAAAGGGCTACTTTAGTTAGAGGACAATGCTGGCACAAGAGCAAATGAGTATAAACTGGCAGTAATTCAGCTAAAGGTTCTTCATTAAATCCAAAGGCCAACTGCACGTAAACACTTATTTTACACAAGTGTTCTAAAATGCTGTGACAGATCCTCACTGTGCATTAGATGGCAACATTAACAGCACTTACTAGTGACTGCACCCACACAGCAGTTGTGGTTACAAGCATTTGATCAGCATGCTTACAATTGAGCTAGCCAGGGAGATTCTAGCTGTCCCATGCTGGTTGCCTTCAGCAGATTTAGCTCACAGTAGCAAAGAAGCACCCTCTTTTCT